CAAGGAGACATTCGGCCGTAATGTTTTGCGTTTTATTCGAATGCAAAGATAGAAAAAAAGAAAAAAAAAGCGTTTACTTGGCGATTACCTCCTATTTCACCCGACATGCAATATTGGGCTTCAGCGACTTACAAGAGGGAAAGATTCATGCCAAAAGATGTTCCGTTTAAAGAACTAGCAAACAAAAGAATAACTAACAAACGTGGAAGTAAGCCAGAATAGACAAAGCACTCAAATTTAACACCACACCATCAAATAATGCCAGTTTCAGGAAGAACCAGTGGTTATTTCGAGTTAGTTGTGTTGACTGGTTACCTAGCAAAGTTCAAGAACCAAGTCTACCCTGCTATTTAATCCATACCAAACAGACTCAAATAAAATGAAAAAGACGGATTTTGACATTAAAGAACTTAGAAAAGTTTGATAAGCCATTAAACAATAAAAATAAACCTAATCCAATTTAAGTTTTCGATTCAAATTCTATCAGCTTTCGTTTCTAACGAAGATTAAAAAGTAAATATATAATCAGTGTGATATGTCAGCTCTAGAAAAAAATTCCTATTACTTTTCTTATTCACCAACTGGTTTATCAAATCATCCTATCAATAAAATTGATTCCAAGCTTCGAATACCTTAGACGAAAAAAATATAAAATCGATATATCTTGAATGATAGTAAAATAAATATATTGTCATTTTTCTCTCTCTTTTAATTAGAAAAAAATATTTGCATTAATCGGAAAACATTTCCTTAAATTAAAAAAATGGAATTCTGTGTGTCTGGTATCGATCTGAAACGGATTGATAAAAATCATGATTTTTTTCAGCTATCGGTTGAATTAATTAGCGCTATATTATTGGTAAGCAAATACATAATGATCATCTGACGCTAATTTAGAAATTTTTCAGTCATCTCTTGACTCAAAAACTGCTAAAGTTATGTGGAACCTCGTTACAAAATTGTAGGAAAATGCGATAGATTTAAGTACTGTCAAAGAAACTAATTTTTTTTTTTTACAAAACCGGCTCACATAGAAAATAACTCTTTTTTTTGTACACGGACCAGTTCCAATAACCGAATCATTTGTAGAGGAATATGCATGGATAAAATTAACAATCTCCTACATTGCTCTACGAATTTAAATAAATATTTATTATAGAATATTAAATTCCTTTCAAAACAACTTCACAAAATACTTTCGGCTTGACGATATTCAGTCACCCCCCCCACGAGGGTGTCATGTGGCACAAGGCCTTTTTAACGTGGGCATTCCGAGCCCGTGGGCTCGGCCAAAAATATGCCCACTTTCGGCTTGACGATACAACCGAATCAGTTGCGTTAGTACAAACGAAAGAGAATACATCTACATGTGAGAATGTGTGTGTCACATATTTACGGTGTTTTATATATGCGTATAATTTGTTGCAACCCGAAGCTAAATAAGCAGTGAGCTGACTTAATACTACTGTTTACGCTCGTAAACAACCACTGTCCGTATATTTTTGGAGTCGAAATCGCTAAGCCTTTTTTGTAATCTAATATATTCGACTAAATATGCCAAAATGTGGATAAATAATTATTTTGAGAAATTCAGTTTTGTATAACAACAATCTGGTCAAAGTTTAACTAAAGAAACGAATTTACTTAACATCACAATATTTATAAGAATAATATGGGCTACGAAAAGACTAAAAGTTAGATTTTACTAAACCCATAAGTTTATTGGTTAATAAATATTTTCCCAATATTTAAATATTTTCCATTTTAAGGAGGGAAACTATTGTTGGTCCTATTCTAAAGTGATCTTCCAAAATCTCGGAGCAAACAACAAATCTTAATTGTTTGCAAATTCAAAGAATATCGCGCGTCTCATATGACATCGCTGATTGGTTAATATATATGAATACAGAAATTCAAATTATTGTACTAAAATGAGTTCATTTCGGTGTGAGCCGGTTTTGTACAAACAAATTAGTTTCCAGTGACAGTAATGTCACTGGAAACTATAGCACTATAAGATTATCTACAATTTTATAACAGGTTCCATAGTTATGGTCACCAAGTATTGTGGCACCATGCATAGTTAGCGAGCTGAAAAGAAATATTCATAAATATATGATTTGTTTTTTACGGTTTGTCAACCATTTGATAATTATTTAGGGCTGAAAAATATTTCGGGGTTAGGAATAATTCTTTCTTTACATTCAAGCGATCTGGGAGAAAGAAAAAGAAGACAGAAGAAAAAGAAAAAAAATAAATAATACGAAAACAGATCATAAGCGAGCACACACACGCTCGACTGAGACATAACAGATGTCGGAAGATATCCAGGTCAAGCACCTGACCTACTTCCGTGTCCACGAAAAATGGAAGTTTGTTGTCAAATGGTTGAAGAAACGAAGTTTAGAGACAATGAAAAATATGATAGATAACAGGTGGGAAATGTATCTAAGGATATGAAGACAAACCATTAATACGAAAACACAGACAATTTCCAGAATTGGAAAAAGCCACACAAGATGATGTTCGCTGAAAATGTTTTTTTGAGATAATGAAAATTTTTATTATCGGGTCTTTGGCCGGGAAAAAGGAGTGAAATATTTTTATTCGTTCACGGAAACGCCAACAGGTCTGAGAAATCCCTTTCTTAGGTCGTATCCAATTAGCGATAAACTGCTTGACAAATACCACGTGTTAAAAAGCCGAAGGTGTCATCGCAGTCGCTTATGATAAGGGCGATTTAAATTTTTATTTTTTTTAAAGCAAGGTGTTTCTTCCCCCAGAACAAAGCCACGGATTGTCCACGCCCGACTAAAGACGTCATTGGCTAGATGTGATCACATGACACGGAAAGGAGGAGAAAGATACCCGACCAGGACGTCATTGGCTAAATAAGATCACGTGGCGCACGAAGGAGGAGGAAAGATACCCGACCAGGACCTCATTGGCCGAGAGCGGTCACGTGACGCACGAGGAGAATCGGTCGACGCCCTTGTCAGAAGTGTAAGTGTGAGGGGCCGATACGAAGAAGCGGGGAAGAGGGTATACGCTCTCAGAGGCACAATAAGGAGGAAGGAGTGAAAGTGAATTACCGAAAATGGAAAATCCCTAACCAGAAATAAGAAGGGTGGATACGTATTTAGAATTATCGAAGAATCCCCGACGCCAAACAGACCCACCCCAGTTTTTGACGGCGTCAATAAAAGCGAAACCCCAAACGACAGAAATCAGATCAGCCGCGGACGGCGAGCGGATCAGAGTTGCGCCGCGGACGGCGAGAGAGCCTGAGCGCGGGCGGCGGGCCCGGTTCATTCGCCCCCTTGCAGGCAAGAGATGCCAGCTCGTTTGGCAGAAGAGAAGAAGTTAATTCGCGCACTGACGGCGGAGATGAGTGACCAATAATTCAGACTCTGAAGAGAAGAAGTTGAGTAGAAGTTTGAGAGCGGACGGCGAGAGAGTTTGAGTTGGAGTTTGAGCCGTGAACGACAAGCAGAGATGAGCGCCCAGTGTTGAAACCGCGTCAAGATAGCTAACCAAGATTCACGCACACTTCTGGACTCTTCTTCAACCAAGAACAAGTAGTTTGAAGAGCGACTTAAAATCAGACCACAGAAATAAGTTTTTTTCGACTTTCGTCCAAAGACACGCCGAAACACAAATTTCTTAGAGAGCAGACAACTGGAAGCCTTAAAGTTGCCTAGTAAAAGCGTCGTGCCACAATCCACAGAACGGGTCGGGAAGTAGACATAGTCCTATGTACCGAGCAAAGAGACATAAAAGTTTGTTACCTTTTTTCTTGATACGTTGGACCTTGTGAGTTTTTATTTTATTTCTTTTTTTTATACATAATTGTGTGTTATCACCCCGTTAGACTCAACTTGCATTACGGCCCCAAGCCCTGTTTGATCTCGTCTCTCTAAGATCAAGTCACAACGTGGGTAGGCAGACCGGAGATCAGTGCAGTTACCCTGGTAACCAGGCGTTGGAAGCGGGTTGAGAACGACGAGGTTGGTATCAATCTAACCAAAGGGTTAGAACGTCACGTTTGGAGCAGCGAGGAGCGAACAGCTGACGCCGCGACAAAAGACGTCACAACTGGTGCTGTCCGTGACCAGGATATCAGAGCCTGGGGAGCACGTGACGTCACAATTGGCGCCGCGAACGGGATCGAACGACACAGTCGACGCTGCGACCGGGGGACGACGTCACAGTATTGTTTCTTGTCTGCTTGTAAACCACAACTAGAACTGTAGCCACAAAATTATTTATATTTACTAATATGACCCCATAGAATGTGTTTAGCATGTTAGCTTTTCAAGGGATTCGTTCTATTAACAATGTAAAGATAACACTAAACTAGATGATTGTGACCCTCAATGTAGATATCTAATTAAAAATGTAATGTAGATATCTAAATAAAAACGTACTGTATATATCTAATTAAAAATGTAATGTATATATCTGATTAACAATGTAATGTATATATCTGATTAAAAATGTAATGTAGATATCTGATTAAAAATCGCCAAAAACCAAGCTTTTTCAATTGTTTTATGATGTTTTTCCAGTAACTGAAAAAAGAAATCTGATATTTTGTTTGTTTGGTTGGTTGTTTTGATTAGTATCATATCAACAACTCTATGGGTTATTTAATACCTAAATCTAAATATTTTGAATGCAATTGTATACCTTCAACTACAGATTTATTATAATAGTGTATTGGTGGTAATTTTTTATATAAAAATGTATTGATTATATTCTTTACTATAAAATTGTATTTTTATGTATAAAATCTGTATTTGATTGTGTGTTGTTTGGCTATTTGCTAACAGCAAACATTCCGGGTCAAGTTGAACCTGGGAACAACAGCAGCTAAGATTCATACCTTTTCCAAGAATATTTGCGTGTAAGTGAATATAACGAACCCAACTGGAATTGGAACTCGGCTCACCGATTAACAATTCTGAGTCATTACCCATTACACCACCTGCACATCCAAGCTTACATCAACCTTGTATTCTCAAACGGTCACCTCTCTAGGTACTGACTAGGCTCGAGGTTGCTTAACTTTGGTGATCGTACGGGAACCAATGTTTCAACGTGATATGACCGTAAACCTGATATTGTGAGAAGTGGATTGGTCTCTGAACTTTTCAGTACCTCCTCATAATTCATTAAATATCTTTTTAGTCTGTTTGGGGTGTCATTGTTTAACTAAAAAAACAAACAAAAAAAACAAAACAAAAAACAAACAAAAAAAAACAACAGAAAAAAACCGTAGCTGTAGCTATGACCTCCAAATTATCTGATTACGAATAGAACTTTCAATTTCAAGCTTTTAGAGAGGGTTCTATTGACAGTGTAAGTATATTGGTAAACTGAACACTTACTTTAGGTCCGTTAGGGTAGCTAAACGTTTTGTTTAGACGTAAAAAATAGACATTTAGCAGAAAGTTTCCAAGCCCGAAACCAAAATTGTGATCTTTTTTCTTATAATTTTCCAATTAATTTTTTCAACTGAAAATAAAGAGATCCTGCGTCAGTCTAAACTGATACCATCTTTTTTCTATCTATCTAAACTATAATTATAAACTATAATTTGGGAAAATTTTCACTAAAATATGTTGGAAAGATATCCAAGTTTGTTTTTTTTCTGAAATGAAGAAAATATAAACTTTAAACTAAATGGTCATAACATTTGAAAAAAAAAAAAAAAAACCGTTATTCAGGACGATATATATTTTTAAAATGGCGTTTCATTTACATTTGCTGCATGAGCAATAACCAGCAGGGAACGTCAACTTCTCGACACCATTTATTAACTTTTAAGTCCTCAAAAATATTTCGTTGATGCAATAAAAGTAGAGAAATAAATTTATTATAAAAAGTGATACTTGAAATCTTTTGTCAAACCCCCCCTTCTACATTTGAATTAAATGGGCTCCAAAAGTTCACGATGGTGAAGATTTTAAAATAAAGAATGATCCACTGAATATATCATTTAATTTGTTTTAAGGATTTTTATCCCAAGCAAGGCAGTAAAGCCACTAATATGTAAGGTTACCAAGTGTGAAAGAATATGAAAAAAAAAAAAAAAAAAAAAAAAAAAAAGAAAGAAAAGGAAAACATTATTAAGGAGAGAGAACAATAAAAAGAATAGGAATTACGAAGACAGAAGATAACGATTGATTTTGATTTAAATTTTTGAAGATCCAAGTTAACTGGACATCAAGAAGACGGGAGAGATTTCCATAAATAAGAAGTGCAATAGAAGAAGAAACACTTGACATAGAACTTACGGTTACATCTATCCATTTCAACTGTAAAATGAAAGGAATATTTAAATCAGAGATATCTTATTATGAACGGAGGGATCAATAAAATAATCGTTAATCGGAAACAAAAATCTAAGGAAAACGGGTTGAAATGCCATCGGAACTCGAACGCTCAAAATGAATTTGAACACGTTTTTAACGTTTCATTTCTTTTCTGTATACCAGGAACTTGTTATATTCTTTATACGTCAGGATTAGTGTGAATAAAAGTTTTAACGGATGACTTTTGTAATTCCTATCCTTGATATCATAAGTCGTATAAATAGTTTATTTCCCCTGTCATGACAATCATTAAAAGATTTTTCGTTATTAAAGAAACTTATGACAAGAGTTCTTGGAGATTATCCAGAGAAGAAGTGCTCAATTCGATTCGTAAACAAATAATAATTGAAAATTATTTGCTGGGATATAGGAAAATATAGATATTTACTAAAAGTAGCGTGCTATGAGACAAGATCCCAATAATAGGACATTTCGCGATAATCGAACTGATCGAACCACTCAGTCTAACTAGCCAGTTTTCGTTTTCCTGGCTGACGCACAAATATAGGAGAATATATAAATGATTTCTTGAGTGAAAAATAACCCATTCTATCCGAAAATACATAGATATAGTTAAACATGTCTTTCAAAAATGAGGTAAAGTATTAAGAGATAGTAAAATTTCGTTAGAAATAAAGAGAAAAGTATTTAAAATATTTACATTGTCGGACTATTGTCCTCATCGTTGTTGTCATATTCGCGACGTTTCGGCCATCTTCAGCTGGTTAGAATTTCGAACCGCATCCCTTATTTCGTCTATCGGGGGTAGATTGTTCTAGTTCTACGTGACGTGCCTTTTTCGGATATATTAATTCTGTTTGCCTCATTATGTAATGAAAAAGATGTAAAAGTGTCATAAAGAAAATATGTATGGTTTAGGGTTTATGGTTTATGGTTATCAAACAGTTGCCTCTCATGAAACCTTACAAAAATATTGACCATGAGAAGACCCAAAGGACTACCCATCGCTACCCCATCAATCTGTTGATACATGTCATTAAGCTAAAACAGACAGACTTAGTAGCCATCTTCATCAGCTCGACATTCTCAGGAATAGATGGCGGCTTTAAGTGGACAAGATACAAATGTCAAAAATCTTGTGAAGAGAGGGACATTCGTGAACTACAAATATCAAAAGACACGAGAAACACCGTGTCCGTTCGTTGCAATTTGCATGGAACTCCGTGTCTGTACGTTGCAATTTGCGTGAGACTCCGTGTCCGTTCGTTGCAATTTGCATGGAACTCCGTGTCTGTACGTTGCAATTTGCGTGAGACTTCGTGTCGGTTCGTTGCAATTTGCATGGAACTCCGTGTCTGTACGTTGCAATTTGCGTGAGACTCCGTGTCCGTTCGTTGCAATTTGCATGGGACTCCGTGTCCGTTCGTTGCAATTTGCATGGAACTCCGTGTCTGTACGTTGCAATTTGCGTGAGACTTCGTGTCTTCGTTGTTTGCATGGTTCGTTGTACGTTGCAATTTGGAACTTCGTGTCTGTACGTTGCAATTTGCGTGAGACTCCGTGTCGGTTCGTTGCAATTTGCATGGAACTCCGTGTCTGTACGTTGCAATTTGCATGGAATTCCGTGTACGTTCGTTGCAATTTGCATGGAACTCCGTGTCTGTACGTTGCAATTTGCGTGAGACTCCGTGTCCGTTCGTTGCAATTTGCATGGAACTCCGTGTCTGTACGTTGCAATTTGCGTGAGACTCCGTGTCCGTGCGTTGCAATTTGCGTGAGACTCCGTGTCTGTACGTTGCAATTTGCGTGAGCCTCCGTGTCCATTCGTTGCAATTTGCATGGGACTCCGTGTCCGTTCGTTGTAATTTGCATGGAACTCCGTGTCCGTTCGTTGCAATTTGCATGGAACTCCGTGTCTGTACGTTGCAATTTGCGTGAGACTCCGTGTCGGTTCGTTGCAATTTGCGTGAAACTCCGTCCGTTCGTTGCAATTTGCGTGGAACTCCGTGTCCGTATGTTGCAATTTGCGTTAAACTGCGTGTCCATACGTTGCAATTTGCGTATATCAACGCAAACTGAAACCAGTCTAGAATATAATACTAAAAATAATACTGTACAAGATCATAGATTTCAACCAGAGATTTGACCAGCTTATGTTTGACTGATCCCACCACAAAATGGGCCGGTGGCGAAAATTAAATTTATAAACTTTCGCCATACCATACATCCTAGGACGCTGGGAACCAACAGTTCGAATTCTATCATATACACGGCAGAGTTCGAATTCCAGTCGAATCCATTAGATTCACTTACGTGCTAATGCCCTTGGGGAAGGTATGAATCCGCTTCTCCCACCAGCTATGGGTAAATAGCAGGACAGACCGGGTTCTGTAGACCTGGATGGATATTGGTCTACCGCAGAAAGAAATGGCAAACCTACTGTGGGAAAAAATCTGCCTCGTCAGTCATGTATTGAAAGATAGATGATCGCCTAAGCGTGTATCACACATGGCACGCAAGTGACTGACCTGTTTTGGGAGGAACATTCTTTTTGTGACGTCATTTAATCTCTTCTGAAATTTAACTTACGTTTTCGCGGTTTCATCAAATCACTTAATTTCCGAAATTTACTCGTGTCATCTGATATTGTCGACATTTTATTTACATAATCAGAATAATCCAGAATCACTACACTAACATTAACATCACTATTATATTAATCACCTTCACTCATCGGCAGTGTTTATTGTTTTAAAAAGCGAGGATTAGATTTCCAATAAAACCTAAACCTATTAAAGCGAATTAATAAATTTTTGTTCTTGAGACTTTACAATAAAAAAAACACTATTTGTCTGGGAGGCCATGTTGTTTACTTCCCGAATCGGCTGTCAAAACAGTGTCATTTGCATATCTTATATTGTTCAGGTGATGCCTACAATAATAAATCCTGGTAAAGTTTCTAGTTCTCTCAGGATAGCGTCACTGTAGAGGCTGAATAATTTTGCGGAGGAGACACACCCTTGTTTCATGTCCCTTTCTGTTTTTTTTGTGTCAACTCAATTAATCTTCTATCCGTATGTATACGATTAGTTCCCAGAATAAGTTTTGGGTTATTATAATAACTTTTCTAAAGAGTTCGTGTTTTCCTAACAGTTCAAATAGATCCTTGTGTACTTTCGGTCTAGTGCCACGTATAAGCCACGCTTACAAGATAACCATTTTAGGAACGCATTTTAATTAGGTTAATTGTTCATAGCAGCAATGCTGCTTGTTATGGCTCTGACACTTTAATATGGCTTTGACGCTGACACTTTTAGAGCAAATAACAGATCTTAGAATCAATTGGTATATTCTCCTTCAAAGAATCAGATTCATCTTTTTACTCGTTGCTTCATTGTGTTGCTCGCATTTGTTATTATGTGAAATGGCATACACATTGATAGTGCAAATATTTCACTGAATCTCTTTATTGATTTTCTAAATATTTAGAAACATTAAAAGTGACTAAATATACGAGAGTTTACGGTCAAATCAAAACTGAAACAAAGATTCTCGTTTGATCACAGAAGTTAAACGGTGTCGAGCTCAGTCCATACTTTGATGGGGGACTACTTACGAACACTGGTTACTGAAAGTAAACTGGATACAAAACCTATTAGACCTGGGGTTAGCAAATTTATCCGACAACAATTTATTTACTATGGAAACCGTCAGCAACAACGCCAAGTGTTAACAGCGGCGACCCCATACTCCTCTCCAATACTCCTCAGTGGAGTA